TTGAATTTTTACAGGTTCAGATTGGGTTTAAGTTCGCATAACCCATTTAATTTTTATAAAAAAGATTAAAATTCATATATACTTTAAGTTTTTCAAAACCTAAAAGTAGAAATAATATATAACATAAATTTGAAAAATGAATGACAAAATACTTAAAATTAACATAAAATTGATTTATCTTAAATATTTGGACAAAAAATCAATAAATATTTCAAATATTTTTGGTATTTAGAGGTTGATTGGCTATTTTAAAAATTTGCATTTAACTATTTTACATATTTCTAAGTATTTTAGAATTTTTTAAAACATCTCATGTGTTTTTTATATTCTTAGATGTTAAATTTGAAAATAATTAATATATTTAAGAATATAAATTTGGTTCGAGTACACTCGGATACCCGAAATTTTTCGATTCAGTTTTGATTATCTAGATACCAAAATTCCGAATTCGCTTCGATATCTAACCAATTTTGCTTAAAAATTTGTATTCATTTTTGGGTTAGATTTTGTTCGGTTATTTGGATTTAGTTTTTTTTGTCCAACCATATATTTTTTTTATTATACCAAAAATTAAAACGAAATGGATGATGGTTTATATTGATTTTGGGTATGCAAAAATTTTAAACAAAACACACTCTATTATGGGTGATCTATTTAGTTAATCATTATGAACTATTTAAGACCCATTAGAAAAACGATTGGCTGAACTAAAATCGTTACCATTGATCACAAAATTTCAGTGTGAGATTTTTACCATCTTAAGTAATTTATGGTCGTTTTAAAAAAATTAAACATAACGTATAAGAACATATATAAATTTTTTTATTATATAATCAATGTGATTTTTTAATTTCTTTTAATAATATAAATTAAATAAAAAATAAAGAGTATAAAAAATTGTTATCAAATATTTATTATTCATAAACATTAATTGTGATATATATGTTAATCATATTAGGTAATTCCGTAGCTTTTATTTAAGGAAAGAATAAAAAATATTCTTTTGTACACTACTAATTAAATATGATAGTTGGTATAAGTATGTTTAGTTGGACCAACATATTTCTCTAAGAGTTATGAAAATCATTCTCATTGTGACACGTGGCTACCAAAAAAATGTTGTAATGCTCCAACATATAGGAGATTTAAATTATTAATCAAAAATATTATAATTGAAATTTTTTAATGCTTTATTAATTTATAGTCGTTTGTAAAAAATTTAAATATAACATATGTAAAAATCTAATTTTTTGTTATATAGTTAATGTTATTGTTTAATTTATTTTTATAATTAAATTTAACAAAAATAGTAGATGCTATAATTTTTTTATCAAATCTTCATATTCAAATTATTAATTGTCATATATATATTGTAACCATATTAGGTAATTTCGTAAATTTTATTTAAGGAAATAATGAATAGCATTAATAATAGTTTTATGTTTAGGCTAATAAAAAGTATATTATATGTTTATATGGACCAACATTTTTCTCTAGTAAATTTGAGAAGCATTCTCATGCTGACACGTGGCTACCAAAGAATGTTGTAATGCTTCTCAAATAATATATAGGGGATGTAATCAAATCATTATTAGTATATGATGATCTTATATTTTGATCTTTATTGCCATTCATTCATCTCCTCCTTATCCAATTTTTTAATTGTCATTTATCTTATAAAATTTGTTTTAACACTGTTTTTAGTTGCTAAACCAATTACTCTTGTATTTTTTTTTAACACTGTTTTGGATACCAATTACTCTTGTAAAATTACTAATAAAAATTAGTTATGTTTTTTATCTATATTTCTTTATTTTTCATTTTCTTAATTGTTTACAAACTCATACATATGTAATTTTTTTTTTATGTTATGTGATTTTCTTATTAATATTTTATATCAGATTGTCATAAATAAAAAGATAACTATTACTTTCAACTCTAGCTGATAGAAAACAGTTTTAAGAAAATAAAATCGTGTTAAAATATAATTATACACTATCTAACCATGAAAACTAGATATGTTAACAAGTTGCTTTGCATGTCTAGTAAACATAAGCTTATTGACAACAAAAAAAGAAGTAAACCTAGCTATTTTATGAACCACCAAGTTTATTTTATTGCGTATCTCAGTCATTTAACTCGAACCATGGTTTTAGAAACTGCATGAGACCTAGGCCTGGGCATTTTACCCGGACCCGAAGACCCGAACCGGAACCGACCCGAAAATACCCGACCCGAACCCGATCCGAAAATTTACAAGTACCTATTGGATCTAAATTTCTTTTACCCGAATAGACCCGGACCCGAAAAGACCCGACCCGAATAGACCCGGACCCGAAAAGACCCGACCCGAATAGACCCGGACCCGAAAAGAACCGACCCGAATAGACCCGACCCGATAAGAACCGATTTGTACCCGAGTTATAAACATGTATATCCAAAACTATTATTTTTGTGTTATGTTTTATGATTCTAAATACCCGGATCCAATCCGGACCCGACATGGATCCGAAATTTACGGGTATTTTACAAGTATTGGAATTATAGACCCGAACCGACCCGGACCCGGCAAGACCCGACCCGGATCCGATCCGAAAAATCATAGGTACCCATATGGGTCTAAATTTCTAAAACCCGAAAGATCCGGACCCGACAGGACCCGGCCCGAACCCGACCCGAGGACCCGGATGCCCAGGCCTAATGAGACCGACTGGTCGAACCGGTCCAACCGGTCCAACCATAATTCGTTAAAGAAGCCGAACTCATTTCGGTTTAAAATTCGGATTTGAGAAAATCGGTAAAACTAATGATCCTTGTCAACTTTAAAACCTCGTTCTAAAAAATTAACATATAATTAATGTGTTTTCATTTGTTATTAAAATTTAATATTTCATAATTAATGTTTGACTATTACTAGTAATTAATTTATTTTCTATTTAATAATATTTTATAACGTAAGAATGTAAATAAATATATTTTGACTTTTATATATTATTCTTATTTTAACATAATCATAAAATATGAGAATTTAATTGTAAAATAACTAAATTCGCTAAGTTACAATCAATCATTGGTTTTTAACAATTTCAGTTTTACATAGCATTTATTTATTTACGATATATATATATATATATATATATATATATATAATTAGATTTATATTTATATTTATTTCTAATTAATAAAATAGAAAAGTGAATATATAATATATAATATATAGTAGATTAAGATCTGTGTCTTGCGCGGAATGAATGTTGTATATACATACAATTTTATGTATTGTTATTTATTTGCGTTATTTAGTTATTTAAAATTAGTGTTAGGTCAGTGAATATTACATATTTAACTAAATTGGCACGGAGATATAAGTCAAAATAATCATTATTATTTACAATCATTTTATGGCAAATGAATTCAAATAATAATTTTAATCTCGTATATTGTTAATAATTAAATTTAATATGAATATCAATATCTAGTACATTTTTTAATATGACTATTTATTAGATAAAAATTTTCTATTCACATTTTTATAACAAAAATATTGAAACATTGATAACAAAATTTTAAATATGGAACTTTTTATTTTTTTTATTAATTTATAATCATTTTAACAATTTAAATTTTGAAAGTAAAATATTTATGCATTTTAAATAATTTATTATTTAATTTAAACGATATATATATATATAATCTAATATTTTTAAAAATGCATCTTAGTCATATAATTTTATGAACATTTGTATCTTGTTTAAAATTAAACCATTGATCACGAATTTTCAAAGGAGATTTTTTTAAAAGTTTATTAATTTACATTCATTTTAAGAAATTCAAAATATAACATATATATAAAAATCGAAGCTATTATTATTTGGTTAATTTGGTTGTCTAATTTATTTTAATAATGTTAATATAAAACAAAAATGATAGAAGATGTATAAACTATTATCAAATCTTTATTATTATTATTATTATTATTATCATATATATTAGATCATATTAGGTAATTCCGTATGTTTCTGAAGGAAATAATGAATAATATATCAATAATTAGTTATATGATTAAATTTATAAAAATATATTATATGTTAAAACCAACTTATTTTTTAAAGATTTTGAAACTGATTTTCATGATGACACATGTGTAATCCCTTATATATTAAAAGAGAAACATTACAACATGTTAACTATGACATGTGTAATCACTAGAATGTTTCTCAAATTTTCTAGAGAAAATGTTGGTCTATAAAAATATATAAAATATACTTTTAATTATATTAACCATAAAAATATTATTAATGTCATTCAATTTCTTTTTTAAATAAAAACTACGAAATTACATTATGTGGTTAAAATATAATATATGATAATTATTTATTTGAACAAGAAAGATTTGATAGAAATTTATGTAGTCTCAATCATCTTTGTTAAATCTACATTTTGAAAATAATTTAAACAATCATTACCTATATAATAAAATATATATTTTTTCTTATGTTATATTTTAAATTTAGAAAACAATTATAAATTAATAAAATCTATAAAAAATTCACATATAACATTTTTTAAATTAGAGTGCCACGTGTATTAATTCCCCACAGGAGAGATAAAAATGCAACTTTATTATTAAAGATTATTACGTCGTTATCCTATGACAGAACCGTCTCAAATAAATTTTAGATCATGTTTAAAAAAAAATTAATGATATATTTATGATTTAATGAAAAAAAATTAAAGTTAATAACTATGTTTGATGTTTCTTTAAAAATTATAAGTTATAATCTAATAATATATCTTATTTTCTTAAAAACAATTCTCATAATTTATCTATATATTCCTTAATTTTTTTTTTAATTTTTCCTTATTTTTTCCTTATTTTTGATTTTTGTATTTGAGACCTGTTTTGGACCACTCCACTTACACGTGCTATTAGACGGCCATGTCCTATGAGATAATTAATATTTAAGTCTACTAAAACATATACACACTAATAATTTGCCCTAAAAACACCTAAAACAAGTAGAGATAGAACATTCGAAACTAGCAACAAAGGGGGGGAGGGTGTAGCGAGACAAAGAGAGAAAGATATAATGAGTGTGCTCCTTTTTTGTCTTCTACGAATCGTCATCCTCCTTAAATATCTTCATCACCTTGTACTCTCCATCAGCTTCTGCTCAAAAAACACTCAGAGAGTGTCCGTTAAAACCTTCTCAATTTTCTTCAGGCGGAGGTCGTCGAGGTAAAGCTAATCGCAGAGGTAACTCATATTTTTTTTTTAATACGGTTATCACAATTAGGTCATGCGTGGAGTATATGGTTTTCAGAATTAGAGCATTATTGCTTTTTATAGTTTTGTAAACATCATGTTAGTTTTTTGTTCTAGGTCGGGCTTACTCGAGAGCAATTTCTGAGGTCATTCTAGCTCTTCTTCTACTTATCATCGCAACAGCGGAGTCAGATAAAACTATTCTGGTAATCTATACTATTAAAAGTGAAGGTACCCTTGAAAAATCGACTGATGGAAGTTGTGTGCACCCTCATTAATGGAATTTTGGTAATTTTTTTTTGGTCTTACATCTATATATATATATATCAATTCTTCCAAATCATATCACATATTAAATATACCCGATTTATTCTCCCTCTTCCCATTAATTACTCTAACCATATTCAATATTATATTCATACATTTATATTGTCTTATAAACATTATATTACGGTTTTAATCTATAGATTGACTACATAAATATTTATTATAATATAAATTAATTATATGGTGTTCAGATGCTCTCATATTTATAAACATTTACATATTTATAAAACAAATTGTAATAAATTGTAATTGTAAATCATAATATATAATTCAATATACTGTATAATAAAATCAACAAAAAATAATATTGTTTTTATCAAATAAAAATATACTAAATTATATTTTAATACAGTAATTTAGATATTATATTAAATATAATTTCTTATTCTTTTAATATATATTTTAATATTTTTAATTAATAAATAGAAGTATGTTGTAAACTCTATGAATATATGTTGTCATGAATATGTAATTCTTTTAATTATAGTTTATAAAATAATTTTAATTAAGTTATTATATATATATATATATATTATTTATTGTAGTAATTTAATTATGAATATGAATAATTTATTTATAAATATTATAGTAATGGTATTTCTTATTTAATAAATCCAAATGAATTAAAATTAATTGTAATAATATTTAAAAGTACATTCTATTATTTAAAATAAATATTAAAACAATAAATATTTATATTTTACTGAAAAAGATATTAAAGATATTGTCAAAATGCAATATTAGAAAAGATCTTGGTAATATCTTTGATATTTGATTTTTAAAATATTTAAATAATATATTAAGATTGTTATTGAATAATAACTAAATTTGTTATATGCAAGATCATTTTACATATTTTCGTATTAACCTTTCTTCATATGTTGATATATCATCATTCTCATGGTGACATTTAATGGATGAGATACGTTTTGTTAAGAAAATATTGCAAAAACTATTTTCTATAATTATCTTCGTACTAAAATAAATGAATTGCTTCATCTACAAGTTTATAAATTAACCACAATCAATATTGTGGTTAGTTATTCTTTGTTTGGTTTTTATAAATTTCGGTTACTTACCGTAGTTGTATTACCATTAACTGTTAAACTTTAAACTTATTAACTAATTCAAAATATCTTCAAGAAATATTCCTTATTCCTCGAAACAGATATTTTTAAAAATCGTCTAAATATTCTTTCCTATATTTGCGTAACCTAAATGTATATCGTCCATACCTATTATAAATATAGCCTCTTTTAACCATTATATTCATCATTCATTGAAAAGCTTAAAACAAAAATGGCGAATAATTTGCAGTTGTCGTGATATAAAACCGAGGAAGATTGCATGTCGCATCCAAGTCAAAATCTTTCATACATGGAGACATTTCATGAAAGACATAGGGGAGACCATGGAACTAATCCTTTGTGATGCAAATGTAAGTTTATCGTTTTGTATAGATTTATGATTTATCTTCATTTTGTAAAAGTGTAACCTAAATGATAATTTTTTCTAAGCGCGGGTCAAAACCTAAATGATAATATTCTTCCCTATATTTATGGAACAATTCTTCTATTTTAAAACTATATTATTTTGAATCATAAATGTTAATAATTTTCTTATTGGTCAGTTTTCTCTCATTTTTATAACTTATCTCCAGCGTTGTGTATCTATCTAACACGAGTATATTTTTATCTAGATGTTACTGGACAAGTTCAAGACTTGGGTGATCTGGAAACCATAGGGTGTAGTGGTGGGAAACAAAAGAATAAGTTGGAGTTCAGTCTCGTGGAAACCATAAAAAAATTTTTTATGGTTAATAGTATAAAGTTATTCTCCTTACCTATTATAAATTTCTTAAGCGCGAGTCAAAACAAAATTGTCGAAACATAAATAAACTATATAATTCGATTAACATATTTATTGGATTTAACTACAAATTTGCAATACAATTTTGGGTATTTTTAATAGTATTGATTTTTTAAGTTTATTATAGGTCATAGATCCATCCAATTTTGGTTTCAATCTAATATGTGTTTAGTTCTTCAAACTCTCACAACACTTAAATTTCTGATTCTCTGTTCAACCACAAAGTGACTCGGTTATGCAGACTAAATGAAAACAACCCTACTAAAACGTTAAATATACATCAAGTTTCGCATATAAAACGATCATATAATAGAAATCGGATCATTTTATACATTTTGTTACAACCGAAACAAAACTCACGATTCTCAAACGCGGATCAAAATCTAGTGTTAATGTTTATAAATAAAGGAGACTTTTTTTATCTCCTGCCACATGTCACACTTTTATGATGGGTACATTCTTATTTTGTCTTTTGTGTATGGGCTTCTCAAATATTATTTCTGGCTCGTTAAAAGTTAAGGTTTCGGTCCTCTTCTTCCTTTCTCTTACGCCACAGAAGAGTCGATCTCTTCTAACGATATACCTTTTTGTCAAGAAAGAGACCAATAGGTCTAACCATTTTTTCATTCCTTATGGTCTTAATCATCAGCTTCTCTGCCTTCTTAACCATTCCATTTTCGCGGTAACCAGAAGCCAACATTGTCGGGAACCGGACATCGAACTCAAGACCAGAGCCATCCCACTCATTGTAGTAAATCTCTTCAGCTCCATTGAGATCATCAAGCTTCAAGAGAGATAAAAAAAAAGCCCTAAACCCCATCATTATCTTGCTTTTCTTTCATCTTGTACATGTCCCATATACCGTAAATGTACTCTCTCTCTCCAGCTTCACCATATAGTGTCAAGAGTTCTGGATAAGACTCATGATCTATATGTTCCACCTCTGTTCTAAGTAGCATCTCTCTCGCCTTCTCCTTGAAACCATTTCTTAGATAAGTCTTTGCCATGTCCAGTGAAGGCAAAGTAGCTTTATGTTCCCTCCCCAAACAGCAAGAAGCTTCTCCATAGCCAACAATTCAGACACAGAAGCGTATACTCGCAAAGCTGTGTTCACTGTCAAACCATCAAACTGAACATTGTTCTCCTTCATCTTTTGCATGATCTCATCAACCTTGTCTTTCTTTCGGACAAACCTGTAAAGAGACATCATCGAGTTATAAGGTAAAGGCTTCAAAAGCAAACCTATCTCTCTCATCTTCTTGAAAGTAGCTTCAGCTTTAACAATATCTTTCTTCACCGTTCAACAAAATGGTGTAGATAGCTTCACCTCTCTGATTCTCCGGGACCATCTCAAAGAACTTCTCAGCTTCTTTCAACCCTAACACGTTCTCTATCAGATGAAACCTAGCTGTGAAGTCTTCAGGGATGAGGTCTTCAGTGAGCAAGTATCTATTTTTGAATCCTTCACCTGTTTAACATGCCTCTGTTTTGGGATAGTCTTATTATTCTTGATTATTTCATTCATATAAGCTTTTGAACGGGTTTTGTCTTATCTGATTCAGGGCATTATTGGATTTGTTACCGGTCTAGCAGAAATATTGTGTTCTTTGATACTTTGGATTTATCTTTCTCTTAACTAATTTGACATTTTAATTAGGAAATTGACAAAATTTAGAAATTATATTGAAGGCAGGCCGGTGTAAGCAGGTGGTACAAACGAGTCTCTTGCCTTTCTAGAAGACTCAGAATGTCAAGATAGGCGGTCAAATGATGGGGGTCCATATGCTACTGCTTGATTCTAAGGTATTTAGTAAAGAGTTTTCTTCTCAGGCTATGTTGATTTAGGCGTCCAGTGTCCATGGACTTAACATCTTCAAACACTTATTGAGTGAATGATCTGTTTATGATCTTAGTTCTTTTGATGTGACAAGAAACAACCACATCTTCCACTTTACCGTTGCCAACATGCTATTTGTTTCACTGATCAAACCATATTTGTGGAGCTCACTGAACCATTTGAACAGATCCGGCTAAAGAGTTTCAGGTTCCGGAATTATGAAAACAAGTTACAATGAAGAGACTTCAAGTATCCTCCGCATAATGATCATTGATCACCCTAAGCACTGAAAAGTATATAACAACTTAAAAGCTTTCACTTACTAAGACAAATTAGCTTAAAGTTAGTTTCCAGGAGTTGCAATTTACATATGGTTATTTTTATATGTATCTGAAATTTTATAATTTTGGAATTTTTATATAATTATCTAAACGTAGATCAGAAACAATTGTAATTAGAACTGTAGATCAAATCTTAAAATTTGATGGACCCGATTTCATATATCTTTTCACTTTTCAGTGTTCGAATGATGGAAAACAAATGGAGTGTCACTGGGCTTGATTGATAGAGTTTAGCAAATTCCCTAATATTTTTTTAAGAATCAGTTTGTAAAATATTTGCATAATATATAATGTTTCAAAACTAATCTAATATAATTTATTTATTTGTCTAATAATATTAGAAAATTATATTTTTACCAATTTTATTTTTTAAAATTTTTATAAAAAATTAAGTTAAATTTTAAATTATTTTTAAAACAATATTTTAAGTTTTTCAAATACAAATAAACAATTTAAAATTAATTATGGTCATGATTTAACATAACCATAATGATTTAAAAAATTAAAAAAATAAAAATTAACAAATTAAAAATTAACTCAGTTTTATATCATGATTTAACAATTTAAAAATTAATTATGGTTATGAGAAGTTTACGTTCACGTGTCAATCATATTTATCTTCAATTTTTCTCTTGTTGTGTTTTTTATATTTTGGTTATTACTCGATATAAATATTTATTTTGAAGTTTATTCTCATTTCATTTGTTTGTTTTGACCTGGAATTTAGAAAATACTTAAGATTTAAAATAATTAAAGAGATACATGCTTAGGTTAAGATCTGCACTTTATGCACAAGAGTGATAAATAAATATTTTATATTTATTTTGAAGTTTATTCTCATTTCGTTTTGTTTGTTTGTTTTGACCTGGAATTTAGAAAATACTTAAGATTTAAAATAATTAAAGAGATACATGCTTAGGTTAAGATCTGCACTTTATGCACAAGAGTGATAAATAAGTATTTTATATTTATTATTTATTTATATTTTTATGCATATTATAAAATAATAAATATATATATATATATTAAATAGCTAAGAAATCAGTTACTATTATGTAATAAATTGGCGTATGCATATAAATTTAACTATCACTCTTGTTTATTCACAATTAGGGTAAATAAATCAAAATAATCAATCTTATATATTGTATATGATATATAATCAAATTTAAATGATATAAACATAGTAATATAGCACACTTTTAATATGAATATTTATTAAATGAGGTTTCTACTCATATGATTTTATGATTATTTGCATATTTGTGTAACAAAACTTTACACCAACGATTTTTTTTTTAATGTGAGATGTTTAGTATTTTAAATAAGTTATAATAATTTTTTTAAAAATGACATATTTTGAAATTAAAATATTAACTTTTCAATATATGTTCAAGGCAAATATCAAAATATAAGTATGTATTTTCATACGATGTATAGTTTAATTAAAACGATATGAAATATATATATATATATATATATATATAAACTAAAATTATTTCTTCATATGGTCTTATAATCATTATATTTAATATATATAGAAAAAAATAAAACCTTGATCCTAAAAGTTTATGTGGGACTTTTAACAATTTTAGTAATTTATACTCATTTTGAAAAATTCGAAATACAACATACACACAAAAAAATGTTTCGTGTGCTTTCCTTAAATAAAACCTACGGAATTACCTAATATGATTAAAATATATATATGACAATTAATGATTTTAAACAATAAAGATTTGATAACAATCTTTATACTTTTTTCTCATTTTGTTTATTTCTTTATTATTAAAATAAATTACACAATTACATTAATCATATAATAAAAGAGATATATGCGACCAACTATAGCCTACGAAATATTATATTGCTAGAAAGTATAATTTTTAGACTATATATTATATCACATGCTCTAGATTATTGGGATTTGAAATAGAAGCCAAAGAGCTATGCCACGTATGATTGAGGTTATTTTTAATTCTTACAAACTTAAGGTTACAACTTTTTAAATGATTCTCAATTAATATATAGGGGATTTTCAAATATACATATATATATATATATATGAAAAATAGGAAAAGACAAAGAATACTAAAAAATAGGTTTATTGATTATTGTTTCTAAAATTTGTAGTTAGAATTTAATTTTGAAAATGCATTAATTAAACATGAAAAGACAAATAATCCTAAAAGATACGATAACTAATAATTTCAGTGGCACAACATTGTAAATATATTAATAAATGAATGAATATTTTTATGGGTACTTCTGTTTTAATAAAATGGATGATTCAGTAATTTAATTATAGAGTTTAATTAGTTTACAATGAGTTAATATTATATAGATATCTAAATTTATTTTAAAGATATGAAATACAAGCATATTATTTCACATTACCTTTTAAAGGGGAATTAACAAAATAGTTCATATTGAAAATATAAATAATAAGCTAGAATTACTTAAACAAAAAGTTAGAAAGTATATACATATATGTATATTATATTGATATCCACAAAAAAAGATTTATATGAAAACTAATCGTACACTTTTACAAAACCACCAAAACATGGATTTCGGTTTTTCTTTGAAATTTGGTCAAAACATCTAAAAATCAGTTTCCCTGTTTTATTTGAAAGCTTTTTTCTTAAAATATTGATTGGTTGTAAAACAAGTTTTTTGAAAAACTAGTTTTCTTAACTTTTAGGGAATCAAAGTTTGTTTGGCAAGAAAATGAATTTTGAAGAAACAAAAACCAAAAACTAATCTGAAACTGAAAACAATCAAGGGGAAATTGGGAAAATAGGCCATATTGAGAATAAATTTGTCTACATATACCTTTGTATTAATTGTTCAATAATAGAAACAATTACCTTTATGTTAATAAAATAATTTTCAGAAATTATATATAACTCAGATAAATATAGAAAAAACCTATAAACTCATGTATATTTTTAACATGTTTAACTATACAAAAATTATATTTTGAAAGTTTGTATTTGCTGATCTAAATTTATTAGAATATATATTATAACTGTTTTTACAAGGATATAATGTATATTATAACCTTTCTTCTATGTTTTAGAGTGGTTATTATACATACTGTAAGGTTTACTCTATTATCTACCTAAATATATAATACATCAACCTATGTTGTAATCGTACTACTTTGTTATTCATAACATATAATATGTATTGTAGATTTTGTATTGTGTTTTAGAAAAATATAGAAAACATTAATTTATATATGTTCAATCTTTTACACTACCAACTGTCTTAGATAAAACAACTAGTTCTTATGTGTATGTTATTTTTTAACTGAGTAATAGTTTATATTATAACCATATGTCCTCTTTTTACCTAGTTTAACATGTATTATATATTTTTGGTTTATTTTATCTTTTTAATTTAAGAAAACCTAGGAAAGAATCATAACTAATTTTATTTAAACTTATCTGTACACTTTTAAAATTTTAAGTATATATATATATATATATAAGTATATATGTATATATAATTTTTATAAAACTACACAACTTTATTTTGTTAAATTTTAATGTTATATATAATATAATTAATATTTTTATTTGACTGATATACAATTAATAAATTATAGTTAGGGTGTTTTGTTATGTTTTAGTTTATAATTAAGAAATTATATATATATATATATATAACTTTATTCTGTTAAGTATATATATATTTCAAAATTTTGATGTTATACAATATAAATACGTTTTTTAGTTTTATATTTTACTTTTATTAATTTCGTCAATTTTATTTT